AAAAAAAAAAAAAAAAAAAAAAAAATCAAACAAATCCTGGAGTTGAAAAAATAAAATGAGCAAAATGCAGTAGAGAGCATCACTAGTAGAATTAATTAAGCAGAAGAAAGAATTTAAACTTGAAGACAAATTATTTGAAAATACATGGTCAGGAAAGAAAAAGTTTACAAGAATGAGGCTTGAGTACAGTGGTTCACACCTATAATCCCAGCACTTTGGGAGGCCAAGATTGGCAGATTACTTGAGGTCAGGAGTTAGAGACCAGTCTGGCTAACGTGGTCAAACCCTGTAAAGTACAAAAATTAGCCTGGTGTGGTGTAGGATGCCTGTAATCCCAGATATTCAGGAGGCTGAGGCAGGAGAATTGTTTGAACCCTGGAGGTGGAGGTTTTAGTGAACCTACATTGTGCCACTGTAATCCAGCCTGGGTGACAGAGTGAGACTTTGTCTCAAAAAAAAAAAAAAAATTTTTTTTTTTAGGAATGAAATTGAATAAAATTGAAATTTCGTTTTAGACATGTCGTTTTTCATTACCCATTTTATTGTCTGATTTTAGGGGAGACTGTGCCTATTGATGAACAGTTTGACAAAGAGAAAGCCAACTTGGAAGCTTTCACAGTGGATAAAGATATTGCTATTACCAATGATAAACCAGCAACCACAATTGGAGTTTCAGGAAATTTTACTGATGCTGAAAGAAGAAAGTGTGAAGAAGAAATTGCCAAATTATACAAACAGCTTGATGACAAGGTAGATACTGTTTGTTTAGGTCTGTTTTATATTAGATACTATTGACATGGGTGTTCTTATTTTCTAATTTTTCTAATTTCAATACTGTGGGCACTTAGGATCTTTACATATCTTCCTTGATTTCTGTTAATTTGTAAAAAATACTGTGTTAACAAAATAAAAATTCTCTCAGCTACTCGGGAGGCTGAGGCAGGAATCACTTGAACCTGGGAGGCAGAGGTTGCACTGAGCCAAGATCACACCACTGCACTTCAGCCTGGCGATAGACCTAGACTCTGTCTCAAAAAAAAAAAAGAAAAAAGTCATAATTTCAGTTTGTGTGTGGAAACTATATGAGGGTATATCTTTTTTCTCCCCTCTTTTTAAGCTAAAATAACTTTATAAGGCAACAGTTACCAACCTTTTTGGCACCAGGGATGGGTTTCAGGGAAGATAATTTTTCCATGGATCAGGATGGGGGTGATATGGTTTTGGGATGGAACTTCCACCTTGGATAATCAGGCATTAGATTCTCATAAGGATCCCGTAGCCTAGATCTTTTGCGTGCACTGTTCATAATAGAGTTTGCACTCTTAAGAGACTCTCATGCCGCTGATGAAACAGAGGGCGGAGCTCAAGTGGTAATGCTTGCTACTTACCTGTTGTATGTCCTGGTTCCTAACAGGCCTCCAGTACTGCTCTGTGGCCTGGGGGCTTGGGACCCCTGTTCTAACAAAAATTTAGCATTGGGTCATTGAGCCTTAATGATATCAACTCTTAGAATCAGGGCTCTGAAGACTCCAATAAAAAACGATGTAAGAGATTAAGGGGAATCAAAAGAGTGAAAATAATATCTTCCTGCTTTGCATATAGAAGTAATATCAGTAGTATGAATAATAGCAAATTAAGAACTTAACAGAATGAAGGCAAAAACAAGAGCAGTAAAGAGATTAAAAGAAAATATTTCTTTTTAATTTTTTTTTTAATGTATTTTAAGCAGGGATGGCAGGTTTGAGGTACTTGACCATTATAAGTATTGATAATTGAAAGAAATTCCTTTCGTTTTGCTATTTGCTTAAAAGAGATTAAAATAAACAATGTTGAATTTGGAGAAATGGTTTTGAAATATTTCTAGGGGAGTACTAATTTTACAACCTGTATTGGGAAATAGCTAGAACCAGGTTGTTAGCTACTTGGTTAACTGGATACTTCAAAATTCTAGGATGAAGAAATTAACCAGCAAAGTCAACTGGTAGAGAAACTGAAGACACAAATGTTGGATCAGGAAGAGGTGAGTTGAATAGCTTTTGTATTGCTTCCAGAAAAGCTTTATAGTTTTGGTTTCTGAATCCCATTGACTTTGTCTTTAATAGTTGTATAATTTTGGTTATGACTGTCTTTATGGGAATAAGTATGTCACATGGATAAAATGAATTTTACTTATTCATCCTATCTACCCACATACAGTCTGTTGTTCATTTCTGCCATCTTTTTTTTTTCATCTTGGTTCTTGACATTTCTCTTCTTGTCACCTAGTTTGGATTCTCATTTTATCTTCTCACCCAGCACAGCAGGGGGATAATTGAGAAGTAGTCCTTTAATTTTTTTGGGGGGGCGGGGTGTGGGCAGGGTGACAACAAAGACTGCTTCAGTAAGCAAGAGATATTCTCCATCAGTGAACCTAATCCTGGTTAGATCATCTTTGTGTATATTTCAGCTGTAGCATTATTCCTCAAAGGGGCACTGTTGACATTTTACGTTGGATAATTGATGTTATTCTGTCCTTTGCATTTATAGGACATTAAATATTCCTGGCCCTTACTCCCAAATGCCATTAGCATTCTATCCAATTATTAACACTTCCACAGATTTCCAGATATCCCTACTGGAGAGCCACTAATCTGGATGATTGTGGTGTTCTCTTAATCAGTCTTTTGGCTTCCCTGCAGTTCAGATTTTATGTGCTGATACCAGGTTTTTCTGAGGCACAGCACAGATGTCATCACATGTTGCTCAAAGCAAATCTGAGTTTTTAAGCAACCCTTGTAGAATGCCATTTTCTTTTATTACATTAACTTGCACGTGACTACAGTCAACCCATCCTAGCCAACTTCTCCCTCAATAATACCCTTTCCTGTATTACTAAGCACTTTATCTGTCCTGTCCCTCTTTTATGGTTCTTACCTTCTGTCTTGTATTGCACTTACTCATGTACCTATTTTCTCTTCTACTGTGTTCCTTAAACACAGTCTTTGATTTTGTCTCTGCCTTGCCGCAACCAGCACAGGACCTGCACATGCACATAGTTGACATTTAGTAAATTTGTTTAATGAATAAATGTTGCCACACTGAGTAACATTCATATTTCACTCCATTTGTTCTTGGCAAATGGTGAAGCTTCATGGGTGTTTTTTACAACCTGTATATGTTGAGGGAAAATAAATTATTTTCTTTCCTGTAGCTTTTGGCATCTACCAGAAGGGATCAAGACAATATGCAAGCTGAGCTGAATCGCCTTCAAGCAGAAAATGATGCCTCTAAAGAAGAAGTGAAAGAAGTTTTACAGGCCCTAGAAGAACTTGCTGTAAATTATGATCAGAAGTCTCAGGAAGTTGAAGACAAAACTAAGGAATATGAATTGCTTAGTGACGAACTGAATCAGAAATCGGTAAGATATAGTTTTTTTTTTTAATGCTTTAGTACAGGTATTCCTAACCTAAAAACTACTTAAGTAATTTATTTCTATAAAAGTCAAATATTGATAACATCAGTTTTCAAGGACTTGGGTTTCAACTTCATTTTTTTCTGTATATGAAGCCTTAGAGGTGGAGGAAGACAGTTATCTTAGTTCATAAAGGTCTATTAATATCTAATTTAAATGCTTTTTAAAAGGATGTTGGTTACTTCTAATGTTATTTTATTTTTTTAATTTAGTATACAGCATGTAGAATCTAATGTTATTACTAATGTTAAAGGAAAATAATTTAAAGTTCCTAGTTACTCAATAAAGCTAGTAGATGATTGTTCATACAATAAAGAAATATGCAATACAAATTAAAATGCTATTTAATCAAATCTGTGAATTATTTAGAATATATGTTATAAGGATATGTAACTTAATATAATTTATGCTTTATTTATTGTTATATTTCTACCACCTGGAACAGTGCCTTCCTATCACAGTGTAGTTGTGGTTCCCTAATAGATGGAGATTTTTAGTTGCTGAAAATCGCTGTAGGACAGGGATAGCCACCCTCCAACAGTGATGCCAGAAATAATATATAGCTATGATTGTTTCAACATCATCATGGGTGAGCTATCTTGTGGTTTTGTTGTGGTTAATGCTAGCTTCTTATTTAAAAATCAGCACCTATAGTTGAACTCAGGACCCTTGCTCACCACTTATTTTCCTGTCCACATTGACTTGTCTATGAGAAAGCAGTCAACTGTACAAAATAACTCTTTTAAAAGATTTCCTGCCCCTATGAGTTCCTTTCCTCTTTTTAATCTACAAAGTTACAGTTAGCTTGAAGTTAACATTCAGTATTGTAGAGATCCAAGATACCATTATACTAACTCTTACTGAGTTGCATTATTAACAAAGCTAATTGCTGTTTGAAAGATAACAGGAGTTTCTTACAACTCAGAAAAGTGGTCCTTGGCCACTGATTATAGTCTTTAAGACAGGTATGTTTATGTTTCAGTTGTGGAGCTGAAATCTATCAGCATTACATTGGTAATAGGAGTTAGAAATCCCTAGTGTTTAGTATCTTTTTATATGCTTAGACAGTGTAACTCTTCAGTTGTTAGAGAAAATGTCTGGTAATTTAAACAATTATGGTAGAAACATGCTGTATTATGAGATTTGCAAGATAACTGGTATGATATTGTAGATTAACCTGGGTGAATACACACTCTGCTAATACTCAGAAACTTAAGGAAATGACCAGCTACCAGAAAAGATAAGCAGTTGGAATGATGACATCTTTACTGAAAGATATTGATGAAAAGTCAGTAAATGGCATTTAAAATACAGTACAGGTTGAGTGTCCCTAATCTGAAATTTTTGGGACTAGAAGCCCCAAGCATTTCAGATTAGGAATACTCAATCCGTAAGTATACTAGTAAGTATAATGGAATGTTTGCATTATACTTACTAGCTGAGCTTTTCTAATTGGCAAGTCGAGAATGCTTCAGTGTGCATTTTCTTTGAGCATAATGTAAGCACTCAAAAAGTCCCAGATTTTGGAACATTTCAGTTGGGGATGCTCACCTTCCATCTGATCTGTGATATGAGTTCTTTTAAAGTGGGCCAAGCTGGGTTGGACTTCTCAAAATTTGGTGATTTTGTAGCTGGTAAGCCAGCTATGATTTGAAATTTATAATTATAGTAATTAAACTCAGATAATATTACTTTATCACTAGCTCCTGGATAATTGCTTGTATCATAGTATTTTCACATGGATTCTTCCCAGTGAGTAGATACATAGAAAGTAGATGAAGAAAGCATACTAACCAATTAGAAAACAGTGTCATTATAACGTTAATTTGCTGGCTTAGTTTCTGAAAAGAAGACACAGTAATAAATGATAATCAAATCTAGTTAAATTTGGAGCTTCCCATTTTTAGACAGAAAGCATTATTTAATCTCAGGAATTTAGTGAAATAACACAAACTTGCCTGCTCTTAATGGAAAATAATGTGGCTACTTTTACCATAGCCTTAGGTCTAAAATACTTTTTTAAAGTTTGAGCTAGGAGCCCAGAACTTGGTAGATAGTTCAAGAAAATGAAAGCAGAAACTACATGGTTTTTTAAGGGCTAGGTGAAAAACTTGAAACACCTGTGAAAATTTGAGTTTTCATGTAATACATTTAATTATACTTTTTGTTTGGGTTCTCTTAGGCAACTTTAGCGAGTATAGATGCTGAGCTTCAGAAACTTAAGGAAATGACCAACCATCAGAAAAAACGAGCAGCTGAGATGATGGCATCTTTACTAAAAGACCTTGCAGAAATAGGAATTGCTGTGGGAAATAATGACGTAAAGGTAAATATAACAACTAAATATTAAGGATAATTATCTGTATATACTAGTACTTTTGTTTACTACTAATGTTTTATAAAGTTATTTTTGTATTCATGATCTCATCCTTACAACCAGTCATGCATAGTAGACAGTATTAACTGTGTTTTAAATACATCAGGAGATAGCAAAAGACTAAGGGCAACCAAATCGATAAATTCAGTAGGTGGTATGTATTGGACCTCGTGTTTGATTCTTTATTCTAAGATTTTCCCCAATCTGGACAACGTGGCGAAGCCCCGTCTCTACGAAAAATACAAAAATTAGCCTGGCATGGTGGTGGTTGCCTGTAGTTCCAGCTCCTGGGGTGGGAGGATTGCTTGAGTCCGGAAGGGCAAGGCTGCAATGAGTTGTGATTGCACCACTGCACTCCAGCTTGCACTGCAGAGCAAGACGCTGTCTCAAGGAAAAAGAAAAAAAGATTTTGCACTTAGAAATTATGTTAATAAATTTCCATAAGTGAAATGATTGGAGGCTGGGCATGGTGGCTCATGCCTGTAATCCTAGCACATTGGGAGGCCGAAGTGGGTAGATCACTAGGTCAGGAGTTTGAGACCAGCCTGGCCAACATGGTGAAACCCCATCTCTACTAGAAATACAAAAATTAGCCGGGCATGGTGGCACATGCCTGTAATCCCAGCTACTCAGGAGGCTGAGGCAGGAGAATTGCTTGAACCTGGAAGGTGGAGGTTACAGTGAGCTGAGATTGTGCCACTGCACCCCAGCCTGGGTGACAGAGCAAGACTCTGTCTCAAAAAAAGTGAAATGATTGGAACAACCATTAAGATGAGTTCAGGCTGGACACAGTGGCTCACGCCTGTAATCCCAGCACTTTGGTAGGCCAAAGTGGATGGATCCACGAGGTCAGGAGATCAAGACCATTCTGGCTAACACGGTAAAACCTCATCTCTACTAAAAAAAAA